GTGCAAGGGAATCAGACATCACGCATTTTCCACAGACCTTAAGAGCTGCAGTAAAACTGGCTACAGAAGACATTCAGTTCTAAGCCCTACAGCCATCTGACACACTTTGTGACTTTTCAGAAGGAAAGTCCCTTCCTCCCTCCCACTGGCCTCTCCCTCTGGCTGCTATGAGGAGATTTATCCATCACTTCAACTCCCTGGCCTTTTCTGAAGATGTATTTTCTTCATAAATCAGTATCTAACATTCCTACCCTCCTTTGTACAGCAGTAATAGCATGGGAAAAAAATACTATAAAACTAGTAAGGTTGTTAATTCTACTGCTGTCCAGCAGTAAAATAATTATAGAAGAATCAGTATTAGTCTGAAGCTGTGGGTGGAAACAAGCACTAGCAAAAGGCCTGGAGCAATCTGTCAGCAAAACCTGTAAGGAGGCAACACTTCTCCCAGTGAAAAGCATGTACAAGCATAAGGAGAGTGAAGATGGTTAATTTTAAATGAAAACTTGGTCCTTCAGAATTCAGTTGACATACATGCATCTCCCTTTGAAAGTTCCCTAGTGACACATGAGGGAATGGACTGTTGAAGTGTTAGATTTCCAAGTTTTGAGGAATACTTCCTGGTTGCTAGTAACATATTTCAGTTGAAAGCACCAGAGAGGGAGATAAATAACATTTGAATCAGCAGGTTAACACATACAAGGAACAGTTAAAAAATCAAACAATACATTATTTCACAAAGTTAGAAATAACCCAGGAAGATAAAAAAGATTTTCCGTGGACTAATCAGTGAATTTTTCTTGTCCACACTTGACGATTAATACAGCACAAACCTCTGTAAATTTGGCACAAAATTTGCTCGTAAGACTTTCGTAATCTAAAAAGTAATGAGGTGATACTCCTGAGCTTGCAAAGTGAGCTGATAAGGACTTCACAAACTCTGTATTTTACTTTGAAGTTTACCAAGAAGGCACATGTCAAATGCATCATGATTCAGTTCCACAGCAGAGGTGGCAGGGAATAGCTACTGAGGCCCTGCCCCAGGCAGCAGCAGCACTACTTGGCAAACTACCTTTGCAGAAGCAGAACAGTGTAACTACACAAGAAGCCAGTTCGAGAACATTATGCATATCACGAAATTAGTTTGGAGAACAGGAGGAGAAAAAGTAGCAGATAAGAGAAGTGTTTGCCACAGCAGAACATGGAGCCATTTAGATCTCTACGTGAAAAACTGTGGAAAAGTTTTTATTTAGCTTCCAAATACTTTTCTTAAGCATTAGTTACCTTGTCAAAGCAGAGAATAAAGTAATGCCACAGAAGAAAAGGAAACCACATTATGAAAGTTTGTTTCCTTTCACTTCTGTAATGTCAAAAGTACAGATAAGTTATTCAAATGTTCTAAGCAGACTGATTTTCTTATTACTTCACCCTTCACAGCACCAGACAAAAACATGAATAACCATTTCCACTGTAAAACTCGGCCTAAGACAAGTGACAGTGGTGCAAGATTGCTCATTTCCAAAACAGGCCCCTACAGCATATGGAGAAATATTCTCAGTGTAAATGTTCAATGATGAACGCTGTGCATAAAACAGACATGTCCTTTCCCAGAATTACTTGATTATGGATGCTCCCAGAAAAACTGAAAACAAAAACCCAAACAAAAATCCCCTAGAGCCCCAACTCACAAAACAACACTTAAATTCTCAGGCAAAAGAAAACAGACACAACAAAATCACTGCTAAACAGACCGGCATAGAACCTAAGGAATTATTTTTCACAGCAGAGAAACTGAAATCTCTTAATTAGACATTTCTCAGCGAGCCTTCAGCTCCCATTCAGGAAATTCATGTCTTTAATCCTGTCTTCAGTAAAAAGCATGGTAATAAATCCACACAACACCGTCCTCTATAGGGAGGGCTCCTCTACCACGTACTACTGCACACCCGTCACCAGCCTCGGCCCAGCACTTTCTCATGGCTGAACAACCTCTCGGCTCTCCCTCTGCTGTTACACAGATCCTTTCAGACGCTACACACACTCATCCCCCGCACCAGAGCCCCACAGCAGCTCCTGTACCCACCCTGCCCCTGTAACACCCCACACTCAGGATCTCTGTTAACACAGCACACTCCAAAACCCTCACAGCTCATCTACTCATCTCCGGGATCTGCAGGCAGTACAGCCACTACTCATACCCCACATCTCGTAACCCACTCATTTTCCATGTGTATATATATCTCCAGCATCCCTCTACACTGCCTATATACAGTGACTGAAAACAGATGAGTGAGGCAAAAAACGTCTTGCATGATGTAAGTCATAAACAGTAAAATCTCAGCTGTATCCAAACTACAGGCCACAGTCCCACGGGCCTTCTTTAAGGTGATACATGCAAGAAAAATTACCTAAGAATATAAGGTATATGAACAGATCCTAACCTTTGCCTTTAGTTGGTTTCTTGGTGGGTGTGTCAGCCGAAACACTTATTTCAATATTATCTGGATCACCTCCTTCCTCTTCAATAGCCTAAATGAGACAAAAAATACAATTTTTAATGGCTTTCGGAGGGAAGAAGTACAGTTTGACTTCAGCAGAAGTCTGTGGGGACAAACTATCCTTGCTGCATCTCAAAAATATTTTATAAACATTCTGGATTAAGCTTTTAGCCGAAAGCTCGAGGAGACGAAGGGAACGCCAATAGCAATAGGCGGGGGTTTCAGCTGTTAAAATGACACTTGGAAAGCAAAGCTTATCAAGGACCCGCACGTTTCCCTGTGGAAAGGTAACTCTAGAAGGCCACAACGACATCCATGATGACACTGAGACCAGCTTGAAAACAGGAGGACGGGGAGCACAGACACCCCGGAGCAACAACCTGCCGAGGGCTCTCCCGGCGGGAGGGGCCGCAGGGCCGGGGACAGCGAGCGAGCACCGCCGGCCGGGACAGCGCGCCCGGCCCGGCCCTCAGGGGCCGCAGGCACCGGGGGGCGGGCACGGCGGACCCTCGCCCGAGCCGCGGCGGCACCACGGGGGCACGTCCCGCCCCCCACCCCGGGGCAGCGGCGGGGCCCCGCCCCCGGAGCCGGGCGGCGGCGGCGGCCGGGGCGGGCCGGGCAGGGCCTTGCGCCCGCCGCTCACCTGCTTGAGCCGGGCGATGAGCACCGTCTTCACGCCGGTGATGTCCAGGTTGCGCCGCTTCAGCTCCGACTTGAGGTCGATGACGCGCAGGTCGCTGATCCTCTTGCTCTCGGCAGGCGGCGCGGCGGGAGCCGCGGGAGCTCCCGCGGCGGCGGAGGCGGCGGCGGGAGCAGAGGCGGCGGCGGCCATTTTAGGGCGGGCGGGCGAGCGCGGCGGCCGCGCGCACAATGAGCGCGGTGCCCGGATGGAGCGCGGCCGGCCCGCGCCGCTGCGCACGCGCCGAGCGGCGCACCTGGCCCCGCGCGCCCGCCCCGCCCCAGGGCGGAGGGAGAGGACGGGCCGGGGGGGGATCGTGAAGGGGAGCGGGGCCCGCGCGGGGTTCCGGGCAGCCCCTGAGGGGGGGACATTCCTCTGCCGCTTCTGCGGCCCCTGCGGGACAGATCCCGAGTCCTGGGAAGGGCAGCGGAGCTGGTGAAGGTGTGGAGCGCAAGTCCTTTTGGGGAGCGGCTGAGGGAGGTGGGGGTGTCTCGTGTGGGGAAAGGAGGCTCAGGGGTGACCTCGCTCTCAACGAGTACCTGACAGGAGGGTGTAGCCCAGTGGGGTCGGGCTCTGCTCCCAGGCAACCAGAGACAGGACGAGAGGAGAATCTCCAGCTTCACCAGCGGAGGTTCAGGTTGGACATTGAGGGGAATTCTTCACAGGAAGGGTGATTAGCCACTGGAATGGGCTGCCCGGGGAGGTAGTGGAGTCACCGACCCTGGAGGTGTTTAAAGAACGACTGGACGAGGCACTGAGTGCCATGGTCTGGTTGACACAGCGGTGTCGGTCACGGGTTGGAGTCGATGATTTCAGAGGTGTTTTCCAGCCTAAATTGATTGTGTGATTCTTGCGTGCTTTTGCTACTGACTTGGAGTTTAGGAAATGCCCTTAAACAATTGATCTGTTTGCATAAGTCTTTTACTGTAAGTATTCAAGAAGTACACTACTAATGTTATAAATAGTTAGCAAAGTACCTCTTCGTATGATTTATTAGGCTGTATTTGTACCAGGTAATGGAAGGTGTTACCTCTTAGTTACCATTTCATTCGTTTTCTGCAGGGAACACTTCAGTGTCAGTAGTAGATCTACAGCTGCTATTAAATCTTGAAATGGGGCAAAATCTGTGAATTAAAGTACATGTAACCCAGTTAAAGTCACAACAGTCCTCTTGTCTGGTCTCTTCATTCAGAAATTACATACAGATGAAAATGAAAAAATGAACGAGGGCTCATTTTATTTAACAAATCTTTGTTAAACAGCCTTTTGTGCAAATTAAGTCCTGAATTCTAAAAGACGTTACATTATCCTTTTTTTCATTTCAAAATGCATTTGAAGTATTTAAGTAATACTTTTGACTAGCTAGTTATCAGTTAACAAAGAGTAAAATCTATGTATTTAAACATGCACAGAAGTCTTAAACCAGACTTTGGTCTGGTAGTTGCATGTATGTTTTACCTATATAATGCTGCTGTTGCACTTGGTACCAAGATTTTTATAAAAAAGAACATAAGAAATTAATATATATTCTTGATTATGCTATTGTCTGTGATAAAATTTGTATTAGCATTAAATACAATAGGATTGACTTTGAGGCTAATAAATGAACTCTTTAGCTTAACTCTACAGAAACGTTTTTGAGTGTATAACATCTAAACAGTGCATGAAAAAGACCTGAATGTACTTTATTTTCCTGTTATTTTAAAATCAGCACTGCAGGAAAGTTTTGACTGGGTCTGTCAGCTTTACTATGGCAAACTGTTGTACAAATACACACAAACCCCTCTGGTTGAATTGCACTATTAGTGAAGGCAACTTTACTGTGTCCGGTTTCTGGAAAGAGGATAAGAGGATAATACAGCACCTGCGCTGGTTTTTAGGGGCTGCTCGACAGAGCTAAACCTCAGTGCTTGTTGGTTGCTAAGGTGTTGTCACGGAAGAGTGGGAGGCTTAGACAAAGTTATTAAAAAGCCTTGTCGGTGAGTCTCGAGGCGCAGAAAGGACTCCCTTTCTAAACCCCTTCTCACAGAAGGGTTTAGGTGCAGCTGAATCCTTTCTAAGCCTCGGACTGTGTTAAAATTTAAATTTAAAGGAATTACAGAGGTGTGATTAAACCACTTTGTCCCGCAGGTTTTAATGATTGGCAAAATGAGAATATTTATATCAAATGAATAACTTATTTTGTACAAATGATCAGACAAAAGATCTTAATCAGAATTATTTACTACACAATATAAACACTAAAAATCTACTAGTAGAGTATAATATAGCAAAAAGTAGTATAGTGCACTGCAACAAAGCAATTATTGAAGCAGTTACATTAAAGCTAACAAAAAGAAATAATTATTAAGTAGAGATTTGATGTAGAGACCAATGCTCGTGGGGAGATCTCTTTCTCTCATCCTCGAGGAGTGACCTTAGTGGGCATCCCCAGCCAAGGGGGGAATGTCCACGCATACACCCCAGAAAGAGTTATGTCAGAAGAACCTGACTGCATGAGAGGGCACTGGACTTTTATAGTATAAAGCGTGTCACACCTTTACAGGCCAGCTATCAGCTTATCTGTAAAATCAGACTCCAAAAAGCAGGGTGTGTATTCAAATTCTGGTGGACCGGAATGGTTTGAGCATAATTAACACCCAGACAACATCCCAGCTCCAGCACTTGATCTCCCATGATAGCTTGATTGGATTTGAGGTCTTAGCAGGGTGGATCTATCCTGCCACACAGTAGATGTCGAAGCTTTATAGCTGACATGTCCCCCCCAAATACAAAGCAACCAACAGAGCCAAAAGTGACTTACCATGGATTCTCAGTCATCCTCCTGCCTCGAGGCACAGTAAACTATTATGAAAATACCTCGATGGATGTTTGCTTAACCTGTTCCTAAAGCGTTGAACGCAGATTCCACTCATTCCTCGAGCAGTCTGGTCTAGTCCTTTTCTGAGTGTCTGGATTAAATACCTTTTGCTGCAGTTTAGCCCATTTATTGCAAGTGAATGTGGACACTGTTCCCTTTCTTTTTGGAGAAAAGCATGGATTATTTTTTTAACCAGTTCTGAAAAACATGATCATTTGTTGTTGCACACCTGTAGCTCCCATCCAATCTTTTCACAGCTCCCCAGAGTTCCCCTGGTGACAACTCTTCTGATCTCAGTAGGATGTGTTCCTTTTTCAGCCTCATAAACTTGTTGACAGGTTCTGCTTGTGATCTGCTCTGCCTGTTGGTTTCTCTTCTGCAAGTTTATTAAAACAATTACTCTTTTCTCTGCAGCTGATTTCTTTGTAGTGGTGTTTATAGAATCATCATCCCCCTCTTGCAATGATTTCACACTCTAGTCTTGACTTCGACTCTTTGCAGTCCCTCCCAGCCTGGTGTCAGCTTCAGGTTAGTGAGCACAGTCTCTAAGCCTTTACTCAAAAATACTTTAATATAGAAGTGTATGAGGAATTTTGTTTGATGTAAACATACAGTTTGATAGTCAGCTACTAATAATGATCCTCTAAATACAACCACTTTGCACCAGATTTATGGAGTTTCTGATCAGAAAAATTTCCATGTCTTTCTTATGAAAATGTGAACAAAATAGAGAAGCTTCTCTGAAGATCTGCAGTTTATTTATTTCTGTGCAACCATAAATGGAAATAAGTTTGGTTTGATAGACTTTTATGAACAAATTATGTCATGAACAAATCATGTTATTTGTCACTTTGTTATTTTCCAGGTATCTACAAATATTTCTAATTTGTCCAGGAATTTTAAACAAGTTGACTGGTTTCTAATTTTCTGTTTGTTTGATTGTTGTCTTTTGTCTGTTTTTAAGGAAAAAGGCTCAGTCCTTTAGTAGTTTCTTGAAACATCTACTAGTTTTCAAAATAAAGATTGTTTTATACCATAACGTTCTGAAATTTGTGAATAATTTGATAAGGAAAAGGTGATAGACTTTCCAAGAGAATAAATGTTTGGCCCAGATATTAATATTTCATCAAGTACAAACCTGTGCTCCTGTAAATTCTTTTTTGCTTGTCTTGTATGTGAAACACCTAAAAATTGTGAAATTAGATTTGTCATGTTTTTCCTTAGATTTTTCATGTTTTTCCCTGGGCTCTGTACCTGTGTGGTTTTGGGGTTTTTTTCTGTGTAGAAGATTATCCGAGTTTCAGCTTTGCTGGCCAGTCTGTTCCCGGCCTCACTTTGAAGCACAATGGACCAAACACTACTTTTTCATCTTTTTAGTGGCTTCATGCAGTTGGTACTTGCATTTTTAATTAATTAAAACTGCAGTTTTAACCTGTTTGGGCTCTGTAAAAATGCAGAGATGTTCAGTAGTAGAAGAAATAGTTCTTGCCTCTTGTTTTGTAAGGAAGCCTGGCTAGAGCATTCAGCTGGAATCAACAGGCTGTCCCAGTTTTCTCCTCTTCACACAGCCACCCATTTATCCATATCCCCTCCTAAAAAAAGGAGATGTTGGTTTAAGGAAAGGGGAGGAGTTGGGGGTGCTGCAAGGTCACCTCTGAATAATGTCCCTACAAATAAACAGGATCCTGTCTCACTTGAGACATGTTGCTCTGCCCTGTCTTTTTATCAGCAAATCTCTGTGTAGTTCTCAGCTTCACATACTGTTAGTTTAAAATCTGACTTTTGCAGTCTGTGTTCTCACTCTTAACTTTAGTTAACAACTCCAACAAACTTTTGTTTGCTTCTGAAATTCAAGTTTCTAGTACAGTATTTTGGATTCTACTTTGGGCACTGAGTCCATGAAAGCTTGTTATTACAGCAGTGGATGAGCCAATGACTCAGTTCCTTATTGAATCTGACCCTTTTTTAAAAAGAGTGAGGCTGGGCACATGCTGGATTAACTGAAATAGCAGGAAGAGTCCCTTTTACTTTGAAAGACACTGAGTCTTGTCCCAGTTCTCATGTTTCATTGCCTGCTTCCTATGACTTTGCTTTTATTAGTTCTTGATATCAATCTGCATTCAAACCTCTGACCATGCTTACATTTAAAAATTATTAGCTGGTACGTTTGCTGCACTATTTCTCTCCTCTGCAGTCAATGCAAGAGTAAAAACCATTTGGGATGTTTTCAGTGAATACCTGACAATAGATACACTTTGATATTAAGTCACTGATAATCCAGTACACATCACTGCTATAGAAAAAGCTTTTTCCACTCTGAGTGTGTAGCTTTCTTTTTGATGTATTATTGATATACTCCATGATGAGCAGTCAGAAGAAGGTAGTAGAAATTAATTTCTGATCTCTAAATAGCTCTCGTTACACCACTTCTACAGAACAGCAAGGAAAAGAACATGAATCTAATGGTAAATCAAACACAGATATTTTCCTTTATTTTACCACTGAAAGTATATATACGTGCTAGGAAATGGCTATTGAATTTCTTAGTGTAAAATCAGATCATTAAATGCAGGATGCTTTTGTTTGTTTCAAACCTAATTGCTCTAAAAATAGCTGCTGATGCATCATTAAAACACAAAAATGTATTTGGCCTCTTTGTTGTACAAGCACTGAAAGAATAAAAAAGGAATATCTTGTGATCTTTCTGTTATGAGGTTGGTGGGGTATTTGGTTTTTTGTAAGAAAAAGACCCATTAAAAATACTGTCAACAAAGTAGTTATTTCCAGGTAATTACACACCACACCTTCTTAATTATATGGCAACTTAAATACTCAAGGAGTCAGATAATCTCAGTAAGATATTTTGAGACCTTAGTGAGGTGATTTCTGCAGTGATGTGTTGTGAAAGTGCTGTTTCCAACCGTACAAAGCCTTATCAGGCTGCACAGCATGAAATCAAATGAGTGACTGCTGGGTCATTCCAGCATCTACATTGTATTGTAATGTAGGATATTTTGTTCTTCCATATATCTTAAAAATATTAGTTACCTGAGTGCTGGATGTTATTTTCCAGAGCTCTTAAAAGCTCTTAGATCAGTTTCATTAGAAAATGTCCTGTATTTGTCATCATGAAATGTGTAGCACTGACAACTGTCCAGTTTGATTTTTGACTCTGTAAATGCATCACTGTTTTGTTGTTTCCTACCAGCAATTTTTCATAATACAAATCTTTAAGCATTTTTACCTCTCCTGTTTCTCCCATTTTCACTGACAAGATCTTCATCTGGGCTGACTGGAGCTGTGACTGTTTATGATCTGAGCATCAGTCCCACAATTTTTTGTGTTCTGTTTTTCTGTAGTATCCTCAAGTCATACCACCATGAGAGGGTTTGTAGTTTATTAATATCACTAGTAATTGTAAAGTGATTTAACACCTGCAAACACTGAAATACATGCTGCAGTGTGGTCCATTTTCAGTCTGCACAACTCCTGATGATGGAAACGTTAACGATGGTCTGGTGAATAAATACCCTGGTGCGAGTGACTGAGCTCCTGCAGCATCGTGTGTGACAGGACATCCACACTCCTGCAGGAGTTTGGAGGTGTGGACTTCCCATATTGTCCTGGACACTGCCAGGCTCGCAGTGAACAGAACTCAGAGCAGAGGCACCTCTTTGTCAGTGCACAGTTTGCACCTTGGACCCGTGCCCAGTGGGACTGTGTTCCAGAAGCTGGTGTTTGCATCTGGAAAAAGCTGTGCCTGGCTTTCCTTGGTGACAAGCAAAGGGATCCAGCCCTCTGGCACAGAGCTGTGCCCCTGGAGATACCTTGGGATGAGGGCTTGCTTTGATTGTTGTCTTTGTGCCAAAAAAGTGAAGTGCAATCTCCTGCCGGCTGGGGTGTTTTGATCTTAGATAAGATAGTTCCTTCTCACCTCTTTAGTTCTGCCAGGCCCTGGGGTGCACACATAAATGGTTTTGTTCAGTTCCACTTAGAAGTAGTTGAAGAGTTCATTGTGAACTGATGGTACCATGGCCTGAAAGCCATTCTGAGATCTGCATTCCTGATTTAGGATGATTCCATTTAACCTTTTGGTTTTCTGTAGCTAAGGAGTGAGAGAAGGAGAACCTTTTTTTTCCAAAGAATTGATAAAATATTTTCAAGACAACTGTCTGTCACTTCAAGATACTAAAATAGTGGCAGAAATAACTATATATCAAAGGGCATAGATAGAAGTTGGGGGTTTTTTCCTAATTGTGAATAATTCTGGTCATTGAAGTGTTTTTTACATCACTTTTCTTTAAAAATTTTGTTAATAACCAGTCAATAAGGGACAAACTAATTTTTATCAAGTGTTAATTTAGGGGTGAGCTCAGGGTGGCCCACAAGTTACTAGATACCTGTCAGCTGGTAGCCCATGGTGAAATAGGAAACAGCCCATAGGAAATCTTAACTAATAAAGATATTAGGAATTCTGCCTTTGTTTGATTTTACCCAAGGAGAAAAGGTCTACAGAATTATACACAATTAGAACATTGACAGGTCATCTGGCCACTCTGGGAGAAAATCAGGACTACCTATACTTACCCTGCATTGCTTTTTAATTTGTGAACTGAAAATTCAAACCACTCTGTAGCCCCTTGTTTTTTGGTTTTGAAACGGTCTTTTGTATGCCTTTCAATTGGTGAGCACAGAGTGACTCTCTACATTTTCTCTGCCAAGAACCACCTTTCTGTCATCTTTGGCACAAGTGTTCAAACCAATTATTACGTCAAGAGGTAAATGCATGACTAGTTGGTGTGGGGTTTTATTGGTATTAGTCTCTGATCAGCTTAGTTCTGAAATAGTCAGAAATGATCAGTCTCATTTCTGAAAGTAACCCAGCCAAATTTCATTAGCTTCCTCTCATATTATCTATGCTGCTTTCTTAAATGTCCTGTTAAGATTAGAGTTCACCTTCCCTGGATATGTACTCAAAAAAGGTGCGTAAAGTAGTTGTTGGGCTGCATCGAGAATGTTTTTTACAACAGCATCGAAACCTCTCTCTCTGAAAATTATTAGACTAAAATATTGTACAGACATGTTTGTTTCTTCATGTCTTCATCATGTTGTTGTTGGTCATTTACTTAATTACATAGCTTATTAAACTTCTCATCCTATTGCCTTTTATCTGACAAATAACCCCAAAATTTTTGTTATTCAACTGCACATTGCTTATATTTTACTTTACATTTTTTCATGTTGCTCCTATTACTTCTCAGGGTCATCCAGTTTTCCCCATATATTGTCTTGATTATTTTTTTCCCATCTGATTTTTATTACAGTATTTCAACTTTTGTTCCAGTGCTTAATGGGAAATATTAACATTGCTTACACAATCAAGCCAGTAGTGACCTCCTTTGAATATGATATAACCTTTTTCCCACTGTTGCTATCTCCTCTTTCTCTCCAGAAACAACCAGTTTCATTGGTTATTTCACCCGTGGCCCAGTGTCAGTGTTTACTGAAACTGGCTGGATGTGGCATGACTTAAAAATAAATAAATAAATCTACCAAACACCCCAAAAATACGTAGAAAAGGGTAGCAGGTTAATACTGGATAACCTGTGGTTTTTGTCTTTGTTGCAAACTGAAAGGAAACCACATAAAACCACCTGTGATCCTTTATTCCCCCTTTGCTGTGCGTGGGTCTCGCTTTTTCCTGTGTTCTTACTTCACACATAAAGCTGAGCACGTCTTTATTTTCATGTCATTTATGTGGTGTAGCACCTTTTGTGCTTTGTACCCTCTTGGACATACTTGGATATGCCTTTGCTTAGTAATATGTTTTCGTGCCTCTAGAAATACATCTTTTGAGGGTGGCATTTACTAGAGTCTTTCCTTAAAACCTTTTTTTCCTTGTATGAGAAATAATTTCCACGTTGTTTTATCCACTTTTGCTTTAAGGAAATTCCATTCAGAAACTCATTCAATTAATAGTCTCACCGTGCATTTTTTGCCAATGACCATTTCTTTTGTAATGATGCATAAAGGTTGTTTAGCTCCTCCAAAAACACGTAAGAACTCCTGTGTGCTGATGACTCTCTGGTGGCAGTGCAGCTCAGGAAGATCTTTACTGGTAGATCAGGCTGGACTTTTCTGCTCCAGTGTCATGTGTTTTTGTAGCTGTTTTTCACTGAGAACACACAACCCTTGTCTATCCAGTGTTTTGAGCTGGAAGTATTCCAGGTGTATACACTGACATTGATGAAAGGTCATCTCTGGCAGGGAGATATCGTGGTCTTTGGCAGCTGCAAAGTCAGCGAACACTCAGGGTTTGTGCTGAATGAGAGCCTTCCCAAAGCCGTGCTGCTTCCTGTGCTGCCAGGACGTGTGACACCAGGGCACTGTGAGGAGCAGCTCCTTAAAGTGTGTGTGGACACGGATAGCGGCACATGGGAGGGGCAGGCTCACCCACGTCTGGGTCGGTGAGGGGGTTGCTGCATTAAGGGCAAATTAAACTCCTGTTTCTGAAGAGCAGAGATGCCACTTGTCAGCATTTCCTGCCGCTGGCTCGGGACAGGCAGCGAGACACCGTGAGACACCGCGGGCCGAGGGAGAGACAGCGCTGGGTGAGAAAACAACGCTTTTGGACAAGGGGAGAGCAAGGTCACAGAATGGGTCAGGCTGGAAGGGACCGCAGTGGGTCACCTGGTCCCACCTCCCTGCTCAGGCAGGGTTATCCCAGAGCACGTGGCACAGGATTGTGTCCACACGGCTCTGGAATATCTCTAGTGAGGGAGATTGCACAGCCTCTCTGGTCTCTGTTCCAGTGCTCGGTTACTGCACAGGAAAGAAGTTCTTCCTCATGTTCAGGTGGAATTTCAGCTCCTGCCCGTTCCCTCTTGTCCCATTGCTGGGCACTCCCGAGCAGAGCCTGGTCCGTCCTACACCCCCGTTTGGATATTTATACAGAGTAGCACAGATGCAGCAGCGGGGCTGGAGCAGGGCTGCTGGCCGCTGATCACATCCCGATCCGATGGCGTCCCGTCCCGTCCCTGATCCCATCCCATCCCATCCTATCCCTTCCCATATCCCATCCCTGTCCCCTCACTCCCTCTCCCCGCTCCGTCCCCTCCGCCCGGCAGGGGGCGCTTTGCGGGGGGCGTGGCTCGCGCGGCGCGGCTGCGCTTTGCGTGCGGCTGTAAAGCAGCGCCGGGTGTCGCGCGGGGCCGCGCTGCGCTGGGAGCGGCGGGGGCTGCGCCAGCACCGCGCGGGGCCCGCCCGGGGCAGCGCCGGACCGGGAGCGCGCCGGGCTCCGCGGGGATACCGCGGGGGCGCGGGGCAGCGCCGGGCAGCGCCGCGGGGGCCGCTCCGCCCGCTCGGCCCTGCGCAGCGCGCCGGCGGCACCCGCCCCTTCCCCCGCGGCCTCGCTGTCTCAGGTACGGGGGGCGGCGGGGCCGGGCGGGCGGGGGTCCCTGATCCTCCCGGCCGCTCCCTGAGGCCGGCGGGGCCCTGCGGAGGGGGGCACTGCGCGCAGAATGTGTTTTTCCCTTTTTTTGCAGCGCCTCGCTGACGCACAAAGCGGTGCCTTCACCGCGGGCGGCCGCGGCTCTCGGGGGGTTGTCACGGAGCTGTCACGGATTTTCCCCGCGCGGAAATGGGTTTTTATTGCTGTGCGGGAGCAGGGGTGGTTATGACGTCATTTGTTTTGTTGGCGAAGTTGATGTTCCTTTAACCCGTGTTAAAAAATCCCTCGTCGTCAGGTGTTTTGTGCCTGGCAAACAAGGGAGCCGCGTCCATTCAGAGGTGTGGGCCGGAATTCCAGAGGTACGTGGGCTGGGAACTGCTGGAATGGGCTGGGGACTTACTTTAAGTGTCAGTGGTTTGGTGGTTAGGGCTGAGTATTCATGGATTTTCATGCTGTTTGAGCTCTTCCATGGCTTGAAATGGTTTTAAATCATAAGCAAGGCCTGGTTGCTTTAGCAGATTAAAGGAGATCCTCAATTCTTGAGAGCCAAATGCTCTTCCAAAAGAGGACATAATGCAGAAGGGAAGAATTTGCTGTAATAGCCCGATTTCATTTGATTCTAATGCAGTTACTTCAGAAACAAATATTTGACCAAAAAGATGAGAATTGACTGCTCATGGTGGAGACCTGGATAGCAAATGACATTTGTCATTTTGGAATATCTGTGTTATAAACTCTTAAAGGAAAACTAGATTTTCGGGTGCAGAATAAGACCTTATATTGTCTTTGTTGTAACCAGTAGAAATTTCCAAAGATAAATTAATTCTGGATACTCAGTAGAAACATTTTGGAGGAAAATTGTTATTTAAATAATTAGAATGCTTTGTCTCTATTACAGACAAAAGTTAAAGCTCTTTATAGGTGACATATCTGTAGTCCTTGCTATCGAAGGGGTTATCCAACAATTTAAATGTTTCTGCTCTTACCTTTGTTGGATAAAGGGGGGTGGGGGGCACAGAAAAACCCTGTTAGCCAAGATTCTTGCTGATGTGTAGGGATTGATAAGGAAAGATGTGATGTTGGTTCATTTGATAAAGTGAACATCTACTTGTCTCGTGCAGTCATTCACAGTATGGAATCACCTCTGGAATTCATCAGATGGGAAAGGCTGGGAGTGTACCTTTTGCATTTCCCCTTAGTTAAATAAAAGTGTGTAAGACACCAAGCTTCCTGTTTTAAAACTCTTGAAGTCCTGTATATTCACAAAGCTGTTTATTTTTGTTGATGGTTGAAGCCCTGGCAGCTCCAGCTGTGGTTGTGTGTGGTACTGGGAGCCTGGGGGTGAACAACAGCTCATAGTGTTCATGCATATTTTGCATGTCCTTTCAGAGTCTGGATGGGAACATTCTGACCTTTCAGAACTGTGTCTTTTATGAAGCAGTGGATTTTGTACAAGTGTATTAAGAGTGCGTCTTAACATGTCTGTGACTCGCACTTTATCTTTAAATTAATAACTTTGCTGACCTACATAACTAGATCAGTCAGAGCAGTTGACTTTCAGTGGAGGTGGTTGTGCTGCAGTAACATTGAGCTGGCAGCAGTTGCTGCCTTTTTTTTTCCAAGATGGAGAATCTTTCATTTCAGTTGCTTGTATTTCCTGTAATGGTGAGAACATTCTTTTGAGAAAATATGGGTGACAGTGTCCTCCTCCCTGGCTGGTGAACTATGGAGGCTTGGATGTTAAGCAGTTGAAAAAATGGGGAAATAATGAGGGGGGGGTGAGGATAGGATGGGGAACAGAAAGATTTAATTCACATATAAACAATGGGGATTACAGAGAGATGGATTTGCCGTGGGCAGGTGTTGTATAAAGATGTCCCCACAGCTTTACTTGTGTGCAGCCTCCTTTCAGTGAGTTTTATCACCAGATCTGTAGTGGTTTGGCTGTTTGCACCTTAGTAAGGTTGGGAACAGATTTATAAATGTGTGTATGTAGTAATATTGTATGGGATACATGTACATCATAGGCACAGGAGGATTGCTCCCAGTCACAGTCTCCCAAGTTTTGTCAGTGTAGGTGACAGTAATCGGCTGCTTCCAGAGTCTGTAGTGCTCTTGCAGAAAACACAAACTGTATCTGCAGCTGAAGTCTTTGACTTGGGAACTTCCTTCAGGCTTAAGGATTAATTAGTGTTTTTCTTGGTGGGCTCCTGTCAGACCTAAAAGAGAACCCTGACAGAGCAGAGGGGAAAGAAGAAAGGAAAATGCTTCTTTCACTAACCCAGAATTTTGCTGACAAGATTATTTTGCTGTTTTATGTAGCTCATGCTATTTGGAAAAGTAATTGCTATAAATTAAAATGATGTGTTCCTTATTAAGTGTTTACCACATGAAATCTGAGAGGGCTGGTTGGTGACTTTACTAGCAAGAGGCAGTAAAGGCTGTTTGCTTCTGTAATTCATTTTTTGTCAATAAAGTGCAGTCCTAATAGTTGACTGCTGTTGGGTAAAATGTTTCCTTTTACCCTCTGCCTCTTGGCTCCACTGGTGAAGAGTGGAGAAGTTTGCTGCACTGTCCTTCCCTCAGAAACTGGTAGATCTACTTAGTTTAGTATCAAAAAAATCCCTTCCTTGTCACAGGTTTCCTGACGAATAGCATAAAACTGTCCTAATGGTTCCTTTCATAGTTCTCACTTGCAAGGTTCTTGTTAACAGTTGTGGCAAAGGTTATCTTTTACTTTGCTCCTCAAAGCTTTATCAAGAAGTGTTTGCAAAATGACACCGCATCAAGAATGGTTATACACACCTTAAAGGTCAAAAAGCCAGGGGGAATAAGAAATATTTTTTTAAATAATTTTTGGTGGCCATGTAACTTCCTTAGCTGTCTCTGGAAGCAGAAATCCTAGTTAAGGTCTTAACCTCCAATAAAAATTGCATTTTGTCATTCTCTTATAAAGCTACAACTTTTTATTCCCGGGTTCATTGCTGTTATATTTGTCTTGGAGTTCATTGAAGCCAACACATTCCTGATTGCCAAATCATAATACTTGTGTCTTGGAGCCGTGATTTAGGTAGTGTTAATGTAGGTAACTGAGCCTGGGACAGAGCAGAGAAGTGTCGAGGCTGAAGAACGTCCTTGTGAACACCATGTTTGTCCAACACACCTGCTTGTGTCCATCGAGCAAAGCCAGAGTCCCTGCCCAGGTGGGATGTGCTGATGCTGGAGCAGTGCTGGGATTTCTGTGGGTACTTTATGGCCTTGGGATGACTCAGTTACTGTGGGACAGTCACCTGCTGCTCTTGGCCCCCCAGCTCATGTACCTGAGGCACTTCCAGCTGCACACACTCTGTGCATTTTCTCTTTTCCAACTAGAGCCAGGCCATAGATCCCGTCCTGTGGAAGAGCTCTTCTGTTTGTAGCTGTCCTATGCTGGATTCTGTTAAAACAAGTGAGAAAGACACTTTCAGTAGTCTCTCCACGAGAGTACAGTGGTGGTAGATCTTGGAGCTGAATGGCAGTGTGGCATAACAGGGGTATTCTGTAGCTGTCCTATAGGTGGCCTGACATTTCTGGTGCAGGGTATGAATTGACTTATGCATGAGAAAACAAACCTTGAAGGTGTGAGGAGTTTTTTTCAGGGATAAAATTAAGGAGACTTTGCTGGTGCAGAGGATGGATACCGCTCGTTACAGTGCTAGACAGCACAGTTGCTGTGGCCTGACTTAGAGGTGGCTTTGCAAAGGTTAGTAAGAGTAGTACTGTACTTGAAATAACATTGTTTCACTTTAAGAGCAGACCTTCCAAGCCAGTGATGATTCCTAGAATTGGCTGCAAGGAGTGGATAAGCCTCCCTGCACTGCTGTGGCTCATGTAGTGGTAGCACCTCCCTGCAAAGCACAGTCAAACCCTTCTGTCTGGGTGGATGTGATGGACTGTCTTTGGGAGTCTGTAAAAAAGAACCTGTTTCCAGAATATTATCATACAGTTAGTAATTAATACTGTGCATGTTGTTCTGCAGTACTGCACATTTCTGTGAGGCAAAGGAGAAGGATTCTGCTTGGAGAACTCTCAAGTAATTCTGTCATCCAAAAATCGAGGTCGTCACTGTGGCTGCATTAAAGCATAGAAAGGAAATTGAGAGTGGTCTGCAATGGTATTTCATATTGTCCTGTGAATAAAGATGTGTTTGCTACATAATAGCGAAGCAAACATAATGGAGTTTCTGATTGTTTTATATGTTTATATGGTGCCGTTTTATAAAATGCATAGATTTTTAACTTATAAATTGCTTTATTTTCTGGCAAAGATTAGAAGACCAATATATAGTATGCTAAAATTAAGTTGTTAGAACAAGCTTTAAAAGAGCACTGTTTGTCTCATGAAGAGGTAAAAATGAAGAACAACCAAAATGCAATGCAGTAAAAGTTTCAAAATCTGATTGCAGTTCTTTTCCTGATAGTGGAACTGAATATTGGATATTTTTCTTCTTGCTACTTACCCTGCATTGTGCAGGTTGTCCCTGCTTGATAGAAATGAAATGAATAGGGCATGACTGGCTCTTTTAGGCTAATGAGTGTTGTGTTTGTGAACTGCTCAGTGAGTTCTTTATTTTTGTTGGAGCAGGGCACGACAGCACTGAGATTGGATCTCCATGAGATTGAGTTGGGGGTGCAGCTCCTGAAATGGCTCCCAAGTCCTGTGTCAGCCTCCAGTGCATCAGGGCTGGACACAAATGGATCTTGTCTGGCTCCCTGCTGTGGAGATGGGGAAGTAGCAGTACTTGGGTTGTCTCACTTTTGCTGAAGGCCTTGTATGAATTTTATAAGCTTTTTCATTTTCCCGTTTCTCGATGTATCTAATGGAAAAGCCTTGCTGAAAGCATAAGAATACATGTTTTTAATGAGAGGAAAGAAATAACTGTTGGTGTTCTAAAACAATCTAAAACAAGGCTTGTGTGATGCTTTTGTTGCT